ATTGTTAGTGAATATATTTTTTTGATGGCATACGCATTCTACGAAACTAGTTTCAATGATCCAACAACTCTTAATTGTTAGTGAATATATTGTTTTGATGACATGCGCATTCTACGAAACTAGTTTCAACGATCCAACCTTCAAACTTGTTTGTTTATACTTCGAGATCATATATGCCAAAAATCGGAAAAAATAAACATTCAGAGATCAAGTAATGGGACAAAACATTTCGACGGTTATAAATGAAAAATCACGATTTAACGGTTCTTTCAACTCTGATTTTGATGATTTTTTACAGCTACACTCCTTGACCCTATATGAATACAATGACTGAATTTGATCTTCAATTTAAAATATTTACACTAGTGGATACCACAAAATCTTATGTTATATTTAACAAAAGTATAAATAAACTCTTAATTGTTAGGAAATATATTGTTTTGATGGCATACGCATTCTACGAAACTAGTTTCAACGATCCAACCATCAAACTTGTTTGTTTATACTTCGAGATCATATACGCCAAAAATCAGAAAAAATAAACATTCAGAGATCAAGTAATGAGACAAAATATTTCAACGGTTATAAATGAAAAATCACGATTTAACGGTTATTTCAATTTCAATTTTGATGATTTTTTACAGCTACATTCCTTGACCCTATATGAATACAATGAACTAATTCGATCGTCAATTTAAAATATATATTTTCTAACAAAAACCCAATCCGAACTACAATAATATATTTTTCTAACAAAAATCCGATCCGAACTAAAATAATAAATTTAAAGCTATGTAATAAATATATATACCGTTTAATTTCTTAAGTGTTATGCATACAAATATTTTTTAAGAAAAGCAAAAATAAATTTGCTTAGGCAACAAAATATTTGGATTACGTCATGCAAAGATTTTAAAAAATAATTTTTTTATTTTTGTAAAGACTTTGCGCGACGAAACACACTTGGTAGCACAATACTTTGTACAACGAAGTTTAGTAATTGGTCGCGCAAAAATTTTTAAAAATAATTTTTTAATTTTATTTATTTTTATAAAGACTTTGTGCTACAAACCCACTTGGTAGCGCAATACTTTGTGCAACGAAGTTTAGTTATTCGTCGCGCAAAGTCATGCAAAGATTTTTAAAAATAATTTTTTTATTTTATTTATTTTTACTAGTGGGTATTTTTACAAGGTTTTGGGGTTGAGCTTGTTTTAAAAAATTGATGGCAGCTTTGTAATTTATAAGAAGTTAAAAGTCTCTTTGTTATGTTATAAATGGGCTTTGAGTGTATTTCTAAAATCCATTTTATATAGGGTTTTTTTTATAATTTGAGCCCCTATATTGGATATAATAGTGAATCTCTCTACAATTTATCACTCAAATTTGCTACGAAGGCAAAGCCGAATTATTGATGTATCTTCCAATATGGCCCGCTTGGTTTGTACTTTTCATCTAATGCATTTATTTGCTCCACCCATGCTGCTGGCATCGAGAAGACCACAACTTTTGAGAATTGTTTGATATATTTTGCACACCGCCATGTCAAGTTTTTCATGAAAATCTCATGGCAGCCCCTTGGGGATTTGGCTGGTTGGATAGGAATGCCCCACCAGGTGTTTCTTGAAATTGACTGAACAAAGGATGGGCAGTAGACTCGATCATGACCCGATTCAAGTTCATTAGTGGAGTACTCACTCTGTGTTTGGTTCACGAATATGAATTGATAGAGAAATCAATCTCTATGTAGTTTCTCATGAAAAGAGAAATTGAAGATTCATTTCCTATATTGGTAACGTTGAAAATAGGTTAGTGTATAGATTGAAAATACATTTTGTTTAGTTTTCTAATTGTATCCCTAAATCAAAAATTATATATATTAAAAAGTGTAATTAATGTTTGTCATGGTATTTTTAATTGTTAATAGTGGTAAATTGGTCATAAAAAAATTGTAATTAATGTTTGTCTTGGTTTCCCATGATGAGGGAAAATGAAAGCCAATGTGGATGGAAGGTTTCATTTATCCCCTATTTTCCCATGAAACAGGAAATCATTTCCCAAGCCTGGACTTACCAAACATGGAAAAGCAAATAATTTCTCATTCCGAAGCTCCTTTTCCCATGAACTAAATACAAAGGTTTCTACTTTCTTAAAGTTCATTAGCTCGAACCTACCAGAAAAACCTAATTGAGAAAACCCTAGCCTCCCTTCTTTTTCTCAAACCTCTTTTGTTGTGTTCCGAGGAGGGGGGAGGAGGCCACTCCTCCTCCTCTCTCCCTCTCTCTCTTTTCCTTACCTCCCCACTTATTTTCCCCTTCCCCATCTACTAGATTTGGGGTTTTAATTGTGGGGAGGTTACTTGTGTCTAGATCTGCTTGGATTTGTGGTTTTGTTGGTTGGTGTTTTAGTTGTAAGGTGACTGGCTGCAATTTCGGTGGTGTTCTATGTCTCCAAAGTGGTGACGGCGTTGTGGTGGCGGTGGCAACAACGGCGGTTGTTGGTTTTTGGTTGTTTATTTGCAGTTTTCTTATTTTGTAATAATTGCATCAACTCCTTGTGAGTTGGGTGCATGATTGTTTTCTAGTCTCTACTTGTATTTTGTACTTGTGAGAGTTAAAAGTTGTAGTTGTATTGGTAGCACATGCCTAGTTTGTTCAGGCATATGCGGCTTTTATGCCGAAATTTCTCTAACCTTTTGTTGTCTGTATCTAGATTAACCCTATGTGGTTACTATGCTTCCATATTTGTATTACCCCTTTGTGGGCATTTGTATTTGCCCTTGTGGCTGATGGTCTTTGTGCCTACTTTATGAATACAATTATCATTTTTTCTCTAAAAAAGAAAGTTCATTAACTCGAATATTAATTGATTGGTATACTATTATAAATAAATTAATAATAATATTAAATTTGCAAGAGGCTTGTAACTCAAGTGGTTAAGAGTTCCTATGCCCGAGGTCCTAGATTCGATTTCCCATATTTCAATATCGCTCGTATAATAAAATAAAAAAATATTATTGGTAGATATGCCATGTGCAAGATGCATATACACATGTGCGTAATTACTTTCACCACACGTGATTATCATTTCAAAACGTTGTTATAATGCTAGCCATATCAAGTTGGTGGCAATTAATTCCATCCAATTGCCTTCGTAGAGACAGTGTGTTAGAGCACTTCCAGTAGTTTGCCTCTTGCCATGGCAAGGGGGGGCCTAGGGCAGCTACTATTCACATGAATAGTGGCTGCTCTTGCCATATTAAGCTATGTGTGTTTTCAGCAGTTGCCCTTTGCCATGGCAACTACTATTCACTTTTTTGTTTTTTTCACAACTTTTTTTACTTAAACAATTATTTTGGATAATATTTTTGAGTAAGATTTTTGGGTTTCTACGTGTCAATACTATTCATATCGGATAAGATTTTCGGTTTCACATTTCAAATAAATTTCGAATTTCAAATTTCATATACATTTCAAAATCCAAATTTCAGATAAATTTCAAATTTCAAATTTCAGATACATTTCAAAATTCAAATTTTAGATACATTTCAAATTTCAAATTTCAGATACATTTCAAAATTCAAATTTCAGATAAATGTCAAATTTCAGATAAGATTTTCACCCTCTAAAATTGCGCCACTTGTCATCTCTATCTGCCTAAATTATTCTATAAAACCAGAGGCTCAGCTCATACCTCCCACACCATATCTTCTCTACATTTCCATTTCTCAGATTTTAGATTTCAATCTCTATTCTCAATGGCAGACATGGAAGAGGTTTTGGAGAGACAAGAGCGAGAAACTAGAGAAACAATGCGTAGAAGAGGTGCAAGCAAGAGGGTGCAGAGAGAACTAGATGAGCAACTTGGCATAGCAGTGGCTTTGCTTGAGGAAGAAAATCAGAGCCGCTATGGTTCACGTGAAGGCCGTTGCCCGGATGTGGACAGACATAGACATTCTCGGGGTAAGAATCTTCTAGAAGATTATTTTATCCCACAATCTCTGTACTATGATGTTCATTTTCAGGCAAGATATAGAATGCAACCCCATTTGTTCAATAAAGTCATGCATGATATTTGCAATTATGGTGAATGCTTTGTTCAAAAGAAAAATGCTGCTGGAAATTTGGGACTTCTTCCCAAGCAAAAGTTCATAGCAGTGATACGAATGTTGGCGTATGGGTCATTTGCTGATCAGGTGGATGAGATTGTCCGTATGGGGAAGTCCACTATTTTGGAGACCTTGGTGCGATTCTGTGATGCAGTGGAAACTCTGTACACCAGGGACTACTTGCGCAGACCTACGCCCAGGGACCTGCAACGGCTTCTACAAAAAGCTGAGATTCGAGGATTTCCTGTAATGATTGGCAGCATTGACTGCATGCACTGGCAATGGAAAAAATTTCCAACTGCTTGGCAAGGGGATTACAAAAACAGGAAAGGGCAGAAATCAATCATCCTTGAAGCAGTTGCTAGATTCGATACATGGGTTTGGCATGCCTTCTTCGGAGTTGCCGAATCTCAAAACGATTTGAACGTACTGGGTCAATCCCCGGTGTTTAATGATGTATTGAGAGGTGAAGCCCCAAATGTCACATATGAAATCAACAATACTGTCTACCAAAATGGGTATTATCTAGCTGACGGCATCTACCCAAGGTGGACCGCATTTGTGAAATCAATTCCACATCCTCGATCTCATAAGCAAAAATTATTTGCTGCCTATCAAGAGGGTTACAACAAAGATGTGGAGAGGTGGTTTGGTATCCTCCAAGCGTGGTGGGCTATTATTAGGGGTGCGGCGCGTCTATTTGACGAAGAGGTGCTTAGGAGCATAATGATAACTTGTATCATCCTCCACAACATGATTGTGGAGGATGAGTATGATTATCTAGCTGATGAAGTGTATGAACCAGATCCCATGAATACGCCCTTGACACGAATTTATGAAAAACCCTTGGGGCCAAATGGAGAACCAGTGCAGCATGAACCGTTGGTTCGAGACGGTAGTTTCATGCCCCGTATGATTGATCGCTACACGGAGATGCAATCGTCGTATATTCATGAATGACGTCAAGTTGACTTGATTGAGCATTTATGGGCGGTGTAAGGCAATGAAGGTGAATGAAGTGAAGTGAAGACGTTTTTTTAATTTATTATGTTGATGTTGTATTTTTAGTTATGCTTTGGTTGTGGTTTGTTTTTTATGTATGGAATGTTTTGAATAAAAAGAAATTTTGTTGAATATTTTCTTTATTCACTAAAAGAAAATCAATACAACTAAGAAAATAAAATACATGAATTACCACTAATTTATTAAACAAAAAAAACAATACAATGAAATGAAAGGCAAGCAAACTAACTTAATGGTTTTGATCATTTAACCAATCCGTGTTGCTAGGTCCATCGTCACGAAAAAGGTTTCGTCTCATAACCTCCCTTCGTTCTAGCTTCCAAAATTTTTGTGTTTCAGGGGACATATGGCTTGTATTCATGGCCATGGTTTCCCGATCCTTTTTTTCAATGTTTTCTTGGCGTACATACTCCCTTTCTTTGC